TATGACAAGTGGTTCTATTTAGTCCTCTTACTTGAGAACTAGTTGCTGTTTATCTTGAAAATATGTGGTAATTGAGGCAAGGGAAACAAAAGCAAAAATAAACTATTGGGACTTCATCAAAATGAAAAGCTTCTGCACAGCAAAGGAAATAATCAACAAAACTAAAAGGCAGCCTATGGAATGTGAGAAGATATTTGCAAATGACATCAAATAAAGGGTTAGTATCCAAAATGTATAAAGAACTTCTAAAACTCAACACCCAAAAAGCAATTAGTCCAATTAAAAATGGGCAGAAGACATGAACAGACATTTCTCCAAAGATCTACAGATGGTTAACAGACACATGAAAAGATGCTTGACATCACTCATCATCAGGGAAATACAAGTGAAAACCACAATGAGATATCACTCACACCTGTCAGAATGGCTAAAATCAACAACACAAGAAACAACAGGTGTTAGGATGTGGAGAAAAAGGAACCCTCGTGCACTGTTGGTGGGAATGCAAACTGGTACAGCCACTCTGGAAAACAATATGGAGATTCCTCAAAAAGTTAAAAATAGAACTACCCTATGACCCAGCAATTGCACTCCTGGGTATTTACCCAAAGAATATGAAATGCTAATTCAAAGGGATAATATGCACCCTTGTGTTTACAACAGCAGTATTTACAATAGCCAAATTACAGAAGCAGTTCAAGTGTCCATTGATTGATGAATGGATAAAGAGATGTGGTATATATATAATGGAATATTAATTAGACATAAAAAAATAATGAAATCTTGCCATTTGCAATGACATGGATGGAGCTAGAGAATATAATGCCAAGCAAGACAAGTCAGACAGAGAAAGACAAATATCATATTTCACTCATATGTAGAATTTAAGAAACAAAACAACTGAGGAAAGGGGGAAAACAAGAAAGAGAGAAAAAGATCAAGAAACAGACTCTTAATTATAGAGAACAAACTAATGGTTACCAGAGGGGAAGGAGTAGAGGAGTACAGGAAGGGGGTGAGGGAATGTGTTAAATAGAGGATTTAGGAGTGCAGTGGTCGTGATGAGTACCGGGTGATGTATGGAAGTCTTGAATCACTATATTGTACACCTAGAGCTAATATAACACTGTATGTTAACTAACTGGAATTAAAAAAAAATTTATGGCAGATGGATTAAAAAACAAATACCTATATATAAAAATAAATGATTATAAGGAAAGAGAAAAGAAAATATGTGGTAATGGATTGTATTTGTTTGGCTCTATATAAGAATGGGATATCTTTCTGTCTGTGCAGTTGTAGGTTGCCTGGGATGGATCTCACATTCTGGTTTCATGATAATTCAATAAGAGAAGAAGTTTGTTTGTTTTCCTACTACTTTTGTGGGGAGGTTTTCTGGGTTTAGAACATTTTTGCTTGTTTTTGTTTGTTTTATTTTCCCAACATTGTCACCATCCACCACATTACTACTAGGGTCACTATCATTTAGAGCAGATACAGATGGTATAAAAGACCAGGAATGTCTTGGAAAAAAAATATTTCTTCATGTACCAGTGAAGTAGGGAAGAAGTATTCTTTTAACATCATCCTTAAGGATTCAGGCATCGCATCCACAAAATAAAGTAGATGTCCCTCCGATGTTTTCCATAGCATTCTGGAAGAGATTTTCTCAACATTACTGAAATGTGACATAATCATGCATTTATTAGTTTGTCTTCTCTCATGTCTGTGAGCTAGTTGGGTGCAAGTAATGTCCATTGAGCACAGTGCCTGCTACATGTAGATTTTGATACTGGGTCATGGAAATAATAAGCAAATAAAATAAGTGATTTGATTTTCACATTGTGTTTTTCATATATTCTGAATACATAAATATTTTTGTGTGTAGTAGCTTGTATTACTTTTCATTTATGTTCAAGGATAGGAAATTTAAATGTCAATAAAGTTTCAATTACCAAAAGCCACAAATTGATCTAAAAACGATAAATTAAAAATGTGCCAATTATATTCATGCATATAATATATAAATGCATATGTTTCTGAATTTGAATCTGCATATATAAAGTATCTAATTATTGTGACTATCAGATTATAGAAATTTAGAGCAAAAACAATATATAAAATTTATATAGTCACATTAGTTTTCCATTTGAGATAACCATAGTCTATAAGATGATACAATTCTAGCTAGGCCTTTTCAAATTATCTAGTAGGGTAGTAGTGGGATATTTATAGGAAGAAGTCCTGTTAAACCTTTATAGGAAACAAATTGATGAAGTTGCTTATACGGGAAGAGAAATAATTTTTCCTTTACCCCTTTAGGCTCTTGGCTGAGACTTCACTGGAATAAAAGAGATTAACGGGAGAAAAACAAACAGAAGTTCAATAACATGTGCACCTCCCGTGTACATGGGAGATAGCCACAAAAACTGACTAACTCTCCAAAATGGCCTAAGGCACCCACCTTAAATACCATCACCAGCAAAAGATAAAAGGAAATGTTTGGGAGTGGGGAGTCAGTTATGAGAGGCTATCAAGAAAAGCATAGTAAACAAGGATAAGATTCTTAGACAGATTTAGGTTGTTGCCTTCTTAAGAGTTTCTAGAGCTTTAGTCATCCTCCTCTTCCAGTTACAGAGATGGAAACATTCTTACAAGTGGAGATTTTCCATATAAATGTAAATGTCCCTTACGAAAAAGTATCTTATACTGTCTGTCTGCTATTTCTTAAAAAATAACCAGCTCAAGATAATCCTTATACCAAAGACGAATATTTTGGGGTGGCAAATTCTGTTCCCCTTCATGCCTAAAAGATTAATTTTAATTCTCATTTCTCCTATTTTTACTTAATTTTCATCTCTTTTGAAATACTAAAAACACTATATACAGGTTTAATGAGTGACATGGACACGGTTAAAAGAATTCCCCAAAGCTGCAAAATCTTAAATTTTTTATAGAAACATTTTAATTTAGAAATATAAGACAATAGATATTTAAATATTATATTTTAGCCTATGTTTAAATGTTAATTTTTTTAGAATTATTATCACAGGTTTTAGCTGTTTGGTTGCAAATTTTTATTTTATACATAGACTTGCTGGTTTCTTCAAACATACATAATCTAATTAATAATTTAAACTCCTTACACTCTTTGGGTAGCCAGTATTTTTCAGGAGATTGCACTAATGCTTCTATTCTTATTCAGTCTCTTGTTTCAGTATCCAGGAGAAACTTAAAATATCACCTCTTTGATTTTATTTTAACTGTATGATTGTGTTTTATTGGCTTTTAATGTGCAACATAAAATAAATCAGTACTACAGTGTTTGGAGATTTGGATGTGATTGCATACTTTATAAATAATTTTGAACCATATTTTATATTCCTATTCTCATCAATAGTCATCATTAAAATTGAAAATATTTGCAGAATATTCTAAGACTTCATAGTGCTATTTATAAAAATAAGTTATACTCCAGGGATGTCAATGTAATACAAGTACTGAACAGTATCTTGGAAAAACTAGCCTCCTTGATGCTATTTTCTATACTTTTTTAAATTTAAATATGCCTTATTAATTAAAGAACCACATAGTGAATCCTGTTTTTAGCAGAAATTTTATCTCAAATGGTGATCTTTAGCATAGCTGAATTATCACTTGACAGAGCCAAGTTTCAAGAATCCTGGATTGGATTAATGGCAGGGTATGTAGCAAGTGCTGGGACTTATTTAACATGTGACTTTGGAGAACAGTTTCCTTTTCAGCAAATTGGCACAATGGTATCCATTCTCCCTATCTCATATAGGCTTAGAGTTCATTGTCCAAAGTGCTCTTCAATGTCATCATTTGGTCAATTGATGTACACACTCACTGTATGCAATATAAGCAGTAGTAATAGGCTAATATGATCTACATATAGAGTTGGTTGAATGCAACAAATTTGTTTCAGGTAAATTCCTTCTCAGGAAAGAATATTATAAAAATATCAATACATTTATTAACAAATTTTAAATATGACCACCACAAAACTTTACTGGTTAAAAAATAGATGTAACCACATTATCTTCTCCTCCTTTCTTTCAAGTTTCAAAACTAAGTTGTCTATTCCAGGTAGCTAATATTATCTGTATGTTCTATGTGTTGGAGAAAATATGTGGGCAGAAAAAATTGAATATACTTAATTAACACTACTAACCTACACTTAGAAATGGTTAAGATGATAATTTTTTTTTCTTTTTCAAAGATTTTATTTATTTTTTGACAGAGAGAGAGACAGTGAGAGAGGGAACACAAGCAGGGGAAGTGGGAGAGGGAGAAGCAGGCTTCCCGCGGAGCAGGGAGCCCGATGTGGGGCTCGATCCCAGGACCCTGGGATCATGACCCAAGCTGAAGGCAGACGTTTAACGACTGAGCCACCCAGGTGCCCCAAGATGATAAATTTTATGTTATGCATTCTTTACCTGTAATTTTTAAAATTCATTGATACTTCCTCCTGTCTTATACTTCTAGTGACATAATTTTTCTGATATAAATGTGACTAATAACTTTGATGACATGTGTCAATGGGATATTTAGATATCAATGGGAAAATTTAGATTTCCTCATATTTCCTTGAGACAACTATCAATATTTTCCATGGTTTACATTGACTCAAAGAGGAATTTTCTTTCTTTTCTAGCTCCTGCGCAATTATCAGCACTCATTATGGGATGCGTGTTTTGTAAGCACTATTGCTAACTGCCTCAAATCAGTGACTATAGAAGAAAGCAATAATTAAAGACTGCATTTGGTGCCAGTGTAATATTTAGGAGGAAATACACATTTTGAGAGAGATGTATAGTCCTTGATTTTTTGAAAAGTCAAGCAATAAAAATGGCCTGTCTCTGCGGTATACCTTGTCAGTTTTTTACTCAGATGTGAATTAAAATTGATTGAAGAAAGATACAGTGATAAAAGCAAATGTTCTATCATTTATTAATTATATTTAAAATTTACATGAATTTATTAAGGACATTGTATAATGTTTCCACTTTATGCTTTAAACAGTTACAAACATTTGTCATAAAATAATGTGCATATCAATGTAACAAGTTTGAAAAGTGGGAAATGAGAATCTGAAGTCCGCCTTCCTTCTAACAATGATCATTAACACTCCAAATGAATGAATCATAGATTTCTCTCTCAAAATTCTAAGGTTTTTGTTTTGTTTTGTCTTTTATGAACAAAATTCTAAAGGACTTTAACATGCAATGAATATATATAACATTCAGAATAACTAGCTTCCATGCTTACACTGAACTCAACATAAGGCAAAAGCCCATAATTGTACTGATTCTTTGGCTCAGTGTGTTCAAAAAGCAAAGCAATGTGGTAAGCCTAATGAAAACAATCCTTTGTGTTTGCCAGCTTCAGATTGCTAATATGGTTGCAATAAAATTCAACCATCCTCTCTGATGAAATATGCGGCTTTGATTAGCAGAACAGTTTGTTTTCTGAATGCAAGAGACAGGCATGAATCTGTTTCTCTAATTGTCCTCATAGTTGAGAAAATGAGGAAGAAGCATGTTTGTTTTAATAAAACATCATTCTGCCTCCTAGAATGACCACATCTGATTAGGAAAGTAGTAAACCAATCAGATTCTGTCAGATGAAATATCCTGTCTTTGACCTCTTTGATACTGCCACAAACTATAAAACAATTGAATGAGTTGTAGCCATGAAATTATCCATGTCACAAACACTGGTCTCTCCTTTTAATTGCTCAAGAAAAACAAGCCTTTGGTAACTTTAGTTATTGTATGCTACAATACAAAACGAATTACCAATAACCATTCCTGAACTAACTAATATACGGCCAGACATTGTTCCCATAGCAGTGTGATGTTTATTTCGATTCCTATAGTTCTCTTTGATCTTCTACCTCTTTTGACATCAGTAGGTAAATCTACAGAAATCCTTGTTCTTGAAGAATTTTCATCTTAGGAAGTTCTCATTCTTGCCCTCTGATATAAAAATAACCACTCCAGCAGATAAAATCTCTCCAAAAAAAGAGTAAGTCAAGGTTGCTTGATGACTACCACACAGGCACCTGCTCTCCCAATATTCAAAGAAGCCATCTGTTGAAAAAGATGAAACACAGTTTAAGACAAATTTTACTGTCATAGAAAAGTATACAAATTGTAATATATTTAAAACACTCATATGTGTGAAAATCATAAATACATGTGCTTATATTTTCCCAGTTTAGTCACAAGTAGGACAATAAAAATGGAAACATTGAAAATGGCTTTTACAAAAGAGCAATGATTTGCATGTTGAAATTGTTAAAGCTTGCATGCATTTTTGGAATTTTTAAGGCAAGTAGTAAGGTGTTCAATGATTTTTAGTGACATAAAGATGCTATAGTAAAGTTTCCAGCAAAGATTTATTTCTGGGCTTGCATGGACACATTTGTGATGGTATTTCATAGTGGTATCTTGGAGTATATTTTGGATGAAATAGCTATTACACTTATTGAAATCATCTTGAACTTATTTGCCCAGATATTATACTGACTTAAATGTGTTATTCATTCATTCTAAACAGAGACATACAATGAAGTAACTTCTATATTTTGTCATAAATAGACCAAAATTATAATTGCTATAGTACTTATTTAAAAAATTCCAGCTTATGATAGTCATTGAGATAAGAATTGAGATTTTTTTTAATAATTCCTGAATATGAAATTGGCTAGAAATGTATTAAAAACAATAATTTTTACAGTTTGTAATGAAAACCTATTCCATGAAGGTAAGACAAGATTTTAATAATTTGAGCATTTTGATATGAATGATTTTTATTACAGTTTTCTAAGAATAATTTATGCACTTAAAATATCAGAGTAGGGTAGAAATTAGAGGATATTACTCCAAACTGAAAAGAATGTGAATAAAATATAAGAAATAAAACAACCAAGAGCAAAATAACCTCAGATCACATACATTATCTTATTGATTGAGAAAGGACATGGTCTCACTCTCTAAATATGAAAATTACCATCGTATCTACAGTTCTTTTAAGTGTACTTACTTTTACCTGCCATCCCTTTGCAGGATAAAAAGAAGAAAAAAAAAAAAAAACAGCAACTTCCCACATGATCTATTTTTACTCATTTGTGTTAAGAATAATTTTTATGGATCACCACATCACCTTTATAATCCCATCATGTATTGTTATCTTTGTATGACAGTTATGTGAATAGAAATGTCAGGAGATGATATATAAATCAATGTTCCCAAACTGAAGTGTATGTGACTCCAAAATGCACAAACTTTCCATTGTCCCTCTTTTAGTTTCCAATGATTTTTAAGTATTGTTTCACATCAGAGTCACCTAAGGAACTTTTACAAAGTATATGTGCTCATGGCCCAAAACTCAATAGGAATGGGAGGAATACTGGGTGGTTGTATTTTTGAAAACTTTCCCAAATACCCTCTGATGTTTGTTCAATACTGAGAAATGCTGTGCATAGTTTCCAAAGTATAGAGTGAATAGCTTTACTTTGTATCTGTATCTACATGTACATCTATATCTCCAAACATGCATGAGTGTGTTTGTACAAATGAACCTTTGCCCTTTTTTTTCCAAAAGTGTGCTGTTCCTCCTGTGTTTCCAGTGTCAGATAATGACACCACTCTCTACTCAGTTGCTCAAATTAGAAACCTGGAGAACATCCATGACCTTTAGTTTTACCTCATCAACCTTACATCTGAATAATCATCAGGTCCTACAATATCTCTCCATCCAACGTGATTATACCCATTCCTATGGTCTGCAGCCTCGTTCACATTACAATTCTACCTTGAGTGTGAAGGCTTGCAGAGTATGTCTCCACAGGATATGCCACTTTGGCATATTAATTATTTTGAATTAAAGGTACTTGATAGATGTCTGGTACAGGAAGGACTCTCTTGACTCTTGGTCCCCCTGAAAGCAGGAAATAAATCTCCAATGTGAAAGGTAACTTCCCTTACCAGGATGATAGAAGGCATCCTTATTACCAGAGATGGAGAATTTAGAGCCAAAAAGCTATATAAATAAACCTTGTTATTTCTTCAGTACTTTACTACCACAAGCTGAAATCCTTGGCTTGTCAGTTTGTCACAAATTTATCATTTTGTCTAAAAGGTATAAAGCTTCCGGCTTTGGCCACTTCTTTGGGTCTCCTATTTTTATGGGGTTCCCATACGTATAAAACTACATTTTTCTCCCGTTAATCTGTCTTAGTTTAATTATTAGATCAACCGAATAACCTAGAAGGGAGAAGGGAAAAGTCCTCCACCTCCACAGTGGATTGGTAAAATATCCTCCTAACGAATTTCTCTGACTCTAGTCTTGCTTGCTCCTAATGATTTTTCACATCCTATCAAGTGCAATCATTTTAAAACGCAATTCTGATTATTTCCTTTCCCTACTTAAAAGCTTAACTCCCACTCAGCCTTATTGTAAAGTCAAGATTCTACCGCATAGCTTCTGGCCATGCATTATTTAGACCCTGTTTATGTCTCCAAACTCCGTGCTCACCCCTTTATTTTTTGCATGTTATGTGTTCTTCCTGCAATTCTTTACAAATTCTTTTCCTCAAACCAAACCACTCCCCATATTTTCACCTGGTTAACTATTACCTACCTGTCAGGCCTCATTCTACATGTCATTTCCTGAGGTAAGATTTCTCTACTCAGCACACTTAGTTTCTATCATAGTGCTAAGTATTTTCCTTACCACAGAATTTATCATGCTATTTTGAGCATTTGATATATTCTACATACATACATTTTAAATATTTAAGAGAGCTTTTCCCCTTTCCCCCTTAGCTCTAACTTAATCTTATTTAATACATATATATTTTTTTAAATCTGCTATGCTCTCCCTACAAGGTTATACCTTCAGCCCTAGAATGACATCCTAAAAAGGTTGGTCACAGAACCAATTGGAAAAAAAAAAACAAAAAAACACAACAATGGAGAATGTAGATATCGTACCAGGCTCCCCTAGAACTTATTCTCAATATCTTCTACAGTAACCCCTCCTTGAAGGGGGAATATGTTCTAAGACCCCTAGTGGATGCCTGAAACCATGGATAGTACCAAATGCATTATATACTGTTTTTCCCTATATGTACGTATGTATGATAAAGTTTAATTTACAAATCAAGTACCAAAAGACATTAACAACAATAGCTAATAATAAAATAGAATAATTATAACAATATACTGTAATAAAAGTTTTGGGAATGTATTCTCTCTCTCTCAAAATATCTTACTGTGCTGCACCCACCCTTCTTGTGATGATGTGACATGATAAAATGCTTACGTAATGAGATGAAATAAGATGAATGATGTCAGCATTGTGACATAGCATTAGGCTACTACTAACCTTCTGACAATACATCAGAAGGAGGGTCACCTGCTTCCAGACTGTAGTAGACCGCTGTTAACTGAAAACATGGAAAGCAAAACTGCAGATAAGGGGATATGACCATGTATCTGTTGTGTGCAAATAAACGAAACCCATGCACAGCAGACCAAACTGAGTTGCAATAATTCTCAGCTACTTTATTGAAGAAATATTCACATTATCTCTTGCCCCACACCAGCAACTATGCTAGACTTATGGGGAGATGATAGTAAATCACACACTATTTTTCTTTACAACTGCAGGTGGATGCAGCATGACAGCACTGTGATGATGTAGCAAGACAACACATGAAAGGGTGGTTTTACCCAGACCAGGGGGGATGGAATAAAGTTCTTTTTTTATGTCTTGAAGCACACATATTTTTTTTTCCAAATAAAATAGAAGAAATAAACCCAGTGTTAAATGACAAAGTCAAATTTATTCAAATACATACACGCCCATGTACACATGTAGGCATGTGTTCTCAGTAAAACTATCTAAGACATGAATCTGGGAATTGCTCCCAAATCTATTAATATTATTTCCTATTAGTTAGCTTGGGAAATGTTCTAAATATACATTCTTGGATATTTTAATATAGTTTATTTATTCTAATGCTCAGCCATTTGGGGATGCCAATGATAAGTAAGATAACCTATTGGTTTTGTCCGTTTATGGGGTAAATGGAGGGAAAGTGACAGGCATTATCCCGCCATATGGGATTTTTTTTTTCTAGGGACCTAGAATCCTGAAAATCTTCAAAGGGATCTTGTGTGGGTCTGCTGATGGTCTCTAGAGAGTCTTAAAAATATAAATAATGAAAAAATATGGACGTAAAATCTTAAAGTAATTTAAGAGCTTTAAAATGAATGTTTATTGTACTTAGACAAAGTTGTTATAAAACATTTTAAATACCACCTTGTTGTTTGGAAGATAGTATATGATCCAAAAAAGTGCAATAAAATACAAATGAGGGAAAATGCTCTTCAGGAAGTTTTTACCTATTATTACTACATACATTATTTTGATTTCAGTTTTAGAAGGATGATAAGCATAATGGCTCATTAGTATAAGTATGTAATGAAGATTATATTCTATCATTGATAATGCCCATAAACTTCCTTTATTTAATGTTCATTTGTAAAAGTGGCACATTTAAAATAAATATCATTGAACTGTTACATTTCCTTAGCAAATCAACAGTCATTAATCCATGCTGTATTTCTTTGTAAACACGAGGGACTCAGAAAGAGAAGAGGTTAAAATATATCTTCTAAAATTTCAGTGTGATAATTACAATCTTCTTTTATATTTGCTGCTGGTCTTTGGATGAAGAATGCTTCTTCTCTTACAGTTAAAGTAAAACATAGAAAATCACATGACCCAGTTCTCCAAATACTTCTCCTTCTTTCATTCATTCTGCTTTCTTTTTTCCTTTTAGCCAAATTCATCTATCTTCATTGAAATCAAAGAGTTTTCTTTTAGAGAAGGGTAAGATTCAGAAGGCAGGCACTTTAGTCTGGACATTAGGAATTTTGTTTTGTACTTCAGAGTCAGCCTATCTCTTGAACATATATCATCAAAACTGGCCCAATCAAGGAAGTTATGTGTCTTTAAAAGTAAGTATCTTTAAAAGAAATTTACTCCAACCAGTGTTCAAGTTCTTCAGATAAACTTTAGTCAATTTCTGTGACCCGCCCCCACCCACCCCACCAGCAAATAGAACCCTCCATCCACTGAAGATTGTTACAAGATGAGGTTCCTATTCTGATTCAATTAAGGCAGGCTTTGGAATCTCACTGCACCCATTAATGGAAATGATGTATTTGTTTGCTGGAATGGTATCTTGCTTTTAGGTTTCTGATAAAGGGGAGGAATAATAGAAATACTGAGAGATTTGGAAAAGAAAGAAGGAAAATAGAAGTTGAATATGAGGACGCAAGTCTGAGAATATGTCCGTTCCCTCCATTATAAGCAAGGTCACAGTAGCTATACAGAATAAGGTGTCTTCCATTATAATTAAGTTGCACTGCACTCATTTTCCCCCAGCACCCACACAGGCAACACAAATCTTCTAGCTGTGTGACCTGAATGGGAGCTACATTATTCTAGCATGATCCTGAGTCTCTAACCACAGTGTACTATATATCAAGAGATAACACCTCACTTAAGATCGGCCAATTATTTCACTCTGTCTTCCTGGCCAAAGTGATTGTCCGGGAGTGAGCACTTTCTACATGATCAATCATTTAGAGATCTTTGCTGTTTTGCTTTTGTTTTCTGTTTATGGCTGTGAGGATTACTACTTGGAGCTTCCAGCAGCTCCGCTCCATGGAAAATTCTCTCTGCAGTAGGTGAAAATGGACCTATCTGATAGGACCTAAAGACAGTCAAGCAAAAATAGGAGGCAGAAAGTTGACTTCTGTAGCTTTCCATCTTCTTATTCCAGTTATCTCTAAAACCAAATATTCTAAAGTTAGGTTTTTGTGAACCAATATATACCACTTTGTTTTCTGTTTGTTTCAGCTAATTAAAATTCAGTTCCTGACTGTCATTATTACTTATAATAAAGTGGAAATCCCAATGAGGCATGAATGTCACCTTTTAATATGAATTTTATTAAAGTATAGAATACATAAAAGTACACAAAAACATGTGATTTACAAAATGAACATGACAATGGGCTAAATCAATCACTTTGGGCTCAAGGAAATTTAGAAGGAAGTAAATGAAGTAAATTCTTGTATTTGAAGTAAATTATGCTGGCAACAGTCTTACCTGTGTCCACTCATTTGTTTGTGGATCATAGGATTCCATAGTGTTGAGGTATGTCTGCCCATCATAGCCACCAACGGCATATAATCTGTCACCAAGGAGACAGACTCCAACAGCATCTCTGGGCATACTCAAAGGAGCCACCATGGTCCATGTGTCTGTTTTGGGATCGTATCTAAAATGTAAGGATAATAGGATATAGCATATTCTAATCACATCCAGCTTTTACTATATGAATGGTACTCTTTCAAAAGCACACCATGAGAAAAAAAAACTATGTTTTTTTTTCTAGAAGCTCAATCATTTGAGCAGATGTTCAAGAGTTAATATCCACAATGTCTGGCTTTCTAAATTTTAAGGTATATTAAAAATATACCTTGACTGGATGTCCAGGTACTCAACAAAAATCTACATCATGATTTCTTCCACAAGGAAGGCAGATATGTAAATAACTACTATCCACTGCAGAATGAGGTTCAGTAAAGCAAATATAAGCAAAGTGCTGTGGTAATGAAACAGAAGTAATGGTTAAAAATCTGGGAGAATTATGGACTTCTCCACAGTTGAAGTCTGCTGTAAATCAGGTCTGAAGGTGTAGCTAAATTTGCTAGAAAGAAAAGGAGACATTTATGCGAAAGAACTGAAGTGTTAATAAAAATGCATGGCCAACTTTGAGGAAAGCAGGGGTGCAGGGTGGCTAAGTTCATGAATAGAGGAAGGAGCAGAGTACCTGGAAGGGTGTTTTTTGATGGGCTTATGGTTTGTGTGATGAGTAAGAAGGTGTTTTGTGTTTTAATAGGAAAACCTGGGGAAAATAATTACAATGTGACCAGAACTGTGCTTTAGTGGCGTTCTTTGGGATTCACTTTAAGGGAGAGATTGGTAAATCAAGAGATTGAAGCAGGGGGCACAAGTTAATTATTACTGAACTTAAACCAAAAATAATTTAATTTCCAGAAAGTCTGACTACCATGCATTACGTATGGATATTTTGTATTTTGAGTGGCAAAAGCCTGAAGAATACTTTCGTGAATGTACTTTACTGTAGCTAAGAATGAATGATTAAACCACTTCTTTGCCTTTAACCTGCACGTTCAAGGTCAGATACAGAAATGAAAAAGCTAGTAAGAGCCCGGCAGAGTAAATATAAAAGAAGACTGGGTGAAAGTTTGTTTTTTTTAACAGATACAATAAATATATTTTTAGTTTGTTTTTCCACTGCAGTCTTGTGTTTCACCAATTGAAACTTTCAACCCACAGACTCCTAAAACAAAGAAACAAACACAAGCAAAAACAAAAAGCCACCTACATGTTTATTGAAAATAAAGAAGGTTGTTACAAAAGAAATGGTTAGGGAGGACCCCAACGGTCGGAAATTTATATTTCTCTATATTCACGTTATCCAAGATGTTACATGCATTTACACGCCACGGTGGGAGAGGTTGTGACAGCCAAGATAATCTATGTGAAATGAGAAATTTGTTGAATGCCTGCAAAACCAGGCAAATAAAAATGTAATTTTACATGCTATAGTTAATAAATGTAAAACATCACAAACACAGGCACATATAGACACACACAAACACAATCTATGTCATCAAAACCTTTATTTAAACTTACCATGAAGAAAAGACAAACTTACCATGAACATATAAAATATGAAATCTTTTATATGAAATATAAAAGATATTTTAAAATAAGGACAAAAGAAAGAAGAGGAGGAGGAGGTAGAGGAGGAGGAGAAGGAAAGAAGATACCTCAAGGAATCAGATAGGAGAATCCAGAGAGTGGAATGTTTTATTGGATAACTGACTGAATTCTCCAACAAATCAATAGCAAAACAAACAAGCAAACCCCCAGTAATAATGAACAGATAATTAGGAAGAAGTAGCTGTTCTAAATGAATTGTGATTAAACATAACAAAAAAAGTAAGTGAATCTTATTTGGATCCCAATTCAAATAGACCAACTTTTAAAGGATGTTTGAGACATTTTGAAAATTTTAATATACCCTGAGCATTAGATTTTAATAAGGAATTACTGAAGTTCTTATTAGTTCTGATAATAGCATTGTTGTTATGTTAAAAAAAAAAAAGTCCTGATCGTTTTTGGTTGTTTGTTTCTGGGATGAATTCAAAAATATTTTAAGCTAAAATGACATGTTTGAGAATTTCTTTGAAATACTTCAAAAAAAAAAAAAGAGAGAGAGAGAGAAGGGAAATGGAATAAACAAGAATGACACACTGGTGATCATGGTTGAAGCCGGGTAATGAGTACAGGGAAGTTTACTGTATTGTTTACTTTTTTGTTTGTCAGAAAAGATCTGTAGTAAAAATAGCTTTAAAAGTAAGAATGTATAGGGCGCCTGGGTGGCTCAGTTGGTTAAGCGACTGCCTTCGGCTCAGGTCACGATCCTGGAGTCACAGGATCGAGTCCCTCATCGGGCCCCGTGCTCAGCAGGGAGTCTGCTTCTCCCTCTGACCCTCCCCCCTCTCATGCTCTCTCTCTCAAATAAATAAATAAAATCTTTAAAAAAAAAAAAGTAAGAATGTATAATACACTTTAATTTTCAAGGAAAAGCGAACGTTCTTTACACTTTATTCATCCTTCAGTAAAATCCAGCCTGGCTTTTGTCACAATCACTTCACTTAAATAGCTTTTTCTGAAGTCATACTTTATCCCACATTTAATTGCTATCCAGCTCTATAGAATTTTTTTTCAACTGTTGTCTGCAAAGCAGACTTTATCACTTTGCAAAAAGGCAGAAGACCTGAGAAAATAGCCAACACTAGGGCATGGAGCAATAATAATAAATGAATTTATGAAGACTTATGAAATTTCAAGTGAAACTCAAATATTGAACAATTCTCAAATACTCATATTCCAGGGAAAAATAAGAAAACACTAGTATGTCCTATATTTAGGTACACATTTAGAAATAATATTCTACACTTAGAAATAGATATCACTTTTTTATATATATTTTACAAAATTCCTGAAGAGAACTTTAAAAATTTAATGCATTCTAGAAAATCCAGATCTTTGGATTAGATGTGCCTGTCTTCAAATCTAGGTAATATCTTTTTTTTCTTATAATAACAAGCTTTTAATTCATATATGGAAATGGTGAAAATTTAAATTTAAATTTCTATATTGTAATCCAAAAAATGAAACCAAAACAAAACAAAAACAATCCAACTCCTCCCCACCCATATACACACTCTCTCCTGGATACAGAGGAAGTAATTACATAAATACAAAGTTACCTACTAGTGGTTATCCTTGTTTGCAAATTAATGAATCTAAATTGATTTTTCTATATTCAGAACTCAATGGATTCACCTCTCAGCCTGAGGATATACAAAATTGTTACCCCCATAAATGAAATAGACAGCTTTTTTTAACCTAAGGAGAAGATCCACAGATGTATAGCCATTTTCCAAACAATTATTAACAGTGAACTCAGTCATTGTCAGTTAACATTTTTGATGAAACTTAGTCCTAAACGTTACTTTTTTCTCTGGTTCTTTATTTAAAAAAAAAAAAAACAAAAAAAACAGGGCACCTGGGTGGCTCAGTCGTTAAGCATCTGCCTTCAGCTCAGGTCATGATCCCAGGGTCCTGGGATCGAGGCCCACCAAGGGGCTCCCTGCTCAGCAGGAAGCCTGCTTCTCCCTCTCCCACTCCCCCTCCTTGTGTAAATAAAATCTTTAAAAAAAAAAAAGAACAAGGCAGCAGGGGCAGTGGAGGGGTTAGAGTAGCTGTCCTTTGTATTTAGACTGTCCGCTTTTCCTACATCTCACCTTGGCCTTCGTGGTCAGAGTGTGAGCTCTGTATCAGGGACTCTATTAAAGTTTGTAGCCTTTAGACAAGAGAAGCACCAGTATGTAGGGGCTAAAATTGGCTGTGAAATGAAAACTTGCTGAAGGCATATGAGAGTCACAGAATAAAACTGTGTCTCATTGAAAATCCCCACTGAAGTTTTTGAGGTACCATTAATTTTTTAAGCCCTGTTTTGTTTTTTTTTTTCTATTAAGGATAAAAATTGATCTTAAAATATTTAAAGAGAAGCAGTTTTTAAGTATGCAAGCCTTACTTCGGGAAAAAATAGAATTAATACTCATTTTCCTAAATTTGTACAAGCAATATTCAACCAGAAAGCAAATTAAACAATATAGAAGTGATTTGTAGCCAGGTTTGTTTGCCTGTAAAACAAAATAAAGCAAACAAGAAAACAGAGAAATAAGATGAGATCCATGCTGTGAAAATGGATAAACAGCTCTGAAAAGAGAGGCTTTTAGATTTCTGGTAAATGAATTATAGAATCTGTGTTTGAATTTTCATAAATTATTTGAATTAAGCAATTAAGAGTGACAATAATGCTGCTCAAAATACATTCTATTTTTCCTGTAAAGAAAATCAACATCTGTCTATCAGGTCTCATGAGATTATGACTTCAGAAATGCTTACATGATGGGAAAGGAAAATAAATTAATTCTAATAAAATTATTTTTAAAAACTTAATAACTAAAAATATTCCTATAAACATCATAGTTCAGATATTTTCATATATATGCATATCTAATGGGTATTTAGGAATAGAATTTCTGGGTCAAAGAGAATGCATATTTTGAAATGTGGTAGATACTTCCTACTGGTATTACAGAGTCTGGGCCAATTTGCACTCCCACCATGAGTGTAATAAGAGTTTCAGTTGCTCTACGTCTTCTCCAACATTTGGTATTAGCTATTTTCATTTTAGCCTTTCTAGTAGGTCCTGGTATGATATTGTGATTTTAATTTTCATTTCTCTGATGCCTAATGACATCAAGCATTTTTCCCAATAGTCATCTTTCCAAGAGTTCTTGTTAAAATCTTCTGCCAAGGGACGCCTGGGTGGCTCAGTTGGTTAAGCAACTGCTTTCGGCTCAGGTCATGATCCTGGAGTCCCGGGATCGAGTGCCGCATCGGCAGGGAGTCTGCTTCTCCCTCTGACCTTCCTCCATCTCATGCTGTCTCTCATTCTCTCTCAAATAAATAAATAAAATCTTAAAAAAAAAAAAATCTTCTGCCAAGAAGATTTATTTATTAGATTTATTTATTAGAAACGAGAATTGGAATTGGGCACGTTCTGCATGGAGCACTGGGTGTTATACACAAACAATGAATCATGGA